AAATATGGGTGAAAGTTGCTAATTTGGAATTGAGAACCTCCCCCCTGTACGGCTAAATGGTGGCTGAAATGATGATAAAAATTATGCCTTCTTGAAATTATCCCTTAAGATTTGGATCTCCACTTTAATAATTGAGGTTCTCCTCCTTTCAATTAGGCTTCGCCAAGGACGGTGAACTTCGGCAATCTGAATTTTGACGGATCTGGACGGTTGGGACGGAATTGTGCCGGCTGACCTGGACGGATGGGACGGATGAAGATTTGTTCAGCACTAGAGACGGACGAAGATTTTGGCGACCCGATGTCTGGGACAGAGACCCGCGACCGCACAAGAACGGATGATCGCGACTTAGGCCGGCGTCTTGGACGGAGACGCACAACAGAGACAATAACCACCGATCGGAACACGGACGAACAAAACTAGGTTTAGGGAAAATCCCAAGAAAGATGCTCTGATACCATGTAGAAACTATAGGACGTTGAATGGCCTGTTCCATTGATACAAAAACGATATAAATATACATCGGTGATACAAACGAACAGTCCTCCCGATGATACACACGAGGAGTCCAACCTAAGTAGCTCAATGCAATGAATGTTGCTATTATACATAAAATACATGTCCTAACAAATTTAGAATGGAGCAAGTATTAAATTTTAAGATATATTGTACATAAAAACATGTGAACTCGCCCGAAACATTGGGTGAAACCTAGTGTAAACGTATATAATCAGGTGAAAACAATCTTTATTTCTTAGAAAAAAACAATCATTTTATCTTGTATTTAGAGTAGAAAATGATCGAGTAGGATCATATTAACAAAATTGTGAAGATGAGATTTTTTGTGAATTGTGATGACCAACCAGATGGTGGACATCAGAAACAATTGCTGTGGTGACGGGTGGGAACAGAGGAATTGGATTTGAGATCGCCCACCAACTTGCAATGCATGGTTTGACCGTGGTGCTCACCTCACGAGAGACGGCCGTTGGTGAAGAAGCAGTGAAGGTTCTAAAAGAAGGAGGATTGAATGTTGTATTTCATCAACTCGACATTATAGACCACACTTCTATCCAGTCATTTGCTAATTGGTTAAAGGAAGAATATGGTGGTTTAGACATATTGGTATGCTATCCTTTACTCTCTCTATTACCCCATTATTAGTGTCGGACATTTGATTAAAGTGGTAAAATAAGAGAGAAATAATTTTGTGTTACTTTCCAAACATACTCTTGATGTTTTGAATAAAAGTAAGATGTGATGTGTAGATTATTAAGAAAAAAGAATGATGTGATGGGTGGTAGGGTATGAAAAAGTAAAAGGTAAAACTAGTTTTTTAATAGAAATGGGAAGAGATTGTGTGACACAATTTTTTTGAAACGTGAAAGACTTTTTGGGACGGAGGGAGTATCATATTTTTTTGACAATCAAGTTTAATTTTTTAATCATTCTTCCATCTCAAAACTAAAGACACATTTTTATCTTAAGCATGTACTTCAAAATTAAAGTTACACTTCTCATCTTTTAAGGAAAATAATATAGTATGTGTCTCAAAATTAGATATCTCTTTTCTTCTAAATAAATTTTAACCACTTACATTTTAGTTTTTGTCATTTTCTTTAATTTTGTGAACTCAAAGAGTGACTTGAATTTTGGAGCTAGAGGGAATATATATTATGTATGTATATATATCATATTTTTTTGTCTTTGTTTTCATCATAAAAACAATTCCTTTTGTTTGGAAAATAATTTAATATTCCCAAAAGTGGATGACAAGCAAGCTTTTATAAAACTCCAAAAGTTGGTGGAGATATATATAATACTCCAAAATAATACATTATTGAACCACTGAGAGAGGTGTGGAACTCTTTATAATGTTCTAGAAGAGCATATAACTCTCTAGACTATTCTACATCTTTCCAGAGAAGCATGCATGTTTCAAAAGTGCATAGAAAAAAATACATCCTCTAGCATATTCTAAACATATGTGGGACCCACTAGATTCTTCTAGAATATATGGAGCTTGTAGAAATTCTTTAGTAAAGGTGTAGTATGGAAAATTATAGAGTCTAGTATTGGTGATTATCATTAACGTACAAGGGTGTGGAGGTTTTTATAAGAAACCTAACATAAGAAGACTTCTTGAAGTGGTTATGAGTGAGTGCAGAGAAGTTACCTCAGTTCAAAGAATAAGTGAACTAGCTATTCAGTTGTAATCTCGTTTTTACATTTCACTATATAAAACAAAATTATTTTTAATCATGCCTTTGTGTTATAGGGGGTGTTAGGCTCTATTCTTTTCGGTTGAAAAACAGAGTTGGATGTTGAATGAAACTCAAAGAAATTTGAAGAAACTAAACACTAAGGGGTTGGAAGAAACTCAAAGGTGTTGAAAAAAAATTTGGAGTTGTAAGAAACTAGAAATAGTTAGAAAAAACTGGAAGCAGTTGATGGAAGAAACTGGAAAGAGTTTGAAGAAACAGGTAAGGGTTGGATTTTTTTAAAGAGTTTTAAAAAAATAATAAAAATATTAAAATAATTGTTGTATTTTTTGAAATTCATATTTTTATTTAAAAACTGTATACCATACTTTATAAAAATTTTAATCTATTTTTATTTTCTTATTTGCCATTATATTTTATCTCAAATCGTATTTGTCATTTTTATGTGACTCACACTCTTTCTTTACTTTTTAAACTCAATATCAATCATATATATATATATATATATATATATATATATATATATATATATATAGTCATATAACAATATAATCGATGTAACAAAAATAAGAAGACTAACGGAGCAATACATTTTACTAATCTTAGTTGGAAAACAAATCTAAACTTAAAAAATATAACGATGTCTTGACCAAAAAATAATAATAATTATAATAATAGTAATAATAAAAATAATAATAATAGTAATAAAAATACATGGAGAACATATCATTTTTAGAGCCATTATTTGGGAAGTAGAAAAAGATTTAAGGAAATGGGAATAGTTGAAAAATTAGAAGAAATTGGAAAAAACTAAAAGAAAATGGAAGAAACTTGAAAAACTGAAAGTAATTGAAAGAAATAAGAAGTTAAAAGTTTAAGTTCCAAAGAATGACTCTTAGTGTGTGTACAAAATCTCAATTGTGTGAATTGGGGAAAAAGGTCGAGGTATATATTTTCTCCTAACATCTGTTTCAAAGCCAAGGTTTTGGAGGTATAGAAATTAGTAGAGTTTGTTAGTGTGATGGTAGCAAAAATGTTGAAGTTGTTCGAGAAACAACGTTTTGATCACGAACTAGAGGATAAGAAACCTGAAGCTTGTTCAATACTTTAGAGGAGGAGGAGGAGGTAATCTTCATGACCACATGAATCACGTTTAATTAACTAGTGTGACAACTAGTGAATGTTGATGGTGCGGTTAAAGATGAGGAGCTAGCATTGTTGTTGGTATCATTATTAAAGTCCTAAAAGCCAATGTTCATACATAATTTGTAGGGGAAAAAAAATATCATGACTGATGAGATGATGTCATAAGTTGCACCATGACTGGAACAAGATATGGCAATGGGGACGAGAATAGGGAAATACTTACTCTTCCAAAATTTACAAAAGTTTACGTGTCGATACGTTAGAGATCCAAAGCGGAACTTGTTTAATTTGAAGAATCCATGGAACATAGGACTGATTGATATTTTGTGTGTTAGCGAGAGGTTGATGATAAATGACACCACAATTAACATAGGAGGTTAGCACATACTAGTTGAAGGGGCGTGTAAGCAAAGGAGGAACTCACCAAGCACAATTTATAAGGTGAAGCGATTGTACCTTACTTCTTGTATATCGTGGCAATTTTGTAATTTACTTAAACTTTAATTACTAAGTACTAGCACACATAAGCATAAACACGTTTTATCCACTGCTCAAACTACAAATGAGTACTGGGTGAGAATGAGTGCAAGAACACAAATGAATGAACATATTTTATTTCCAAAATGAATTTTACATCTGTCTTTATCGCTGAGCAAACCACCGACGATAACGGCCATGGAAATGAACACTATCTTGCTTTAGAATGAACATTGCGTTGTTTGCGAATGAACACTACACCGAGAAAGCTTAGAATGAAAACTTCTTTGTTTCAGAATGAACACTACGTTTTTCATGAATCATTATTATAATTCTACTAAACAAAAGTGTGAAAATTAATATTATGTTGCTTCATAATGAACACTACATTGGTTCAAAATGAATTTATTTTGGATCTACTTAGCTCTAGGTACACCAAGATGTATAATATATGTTTTCCTCAAGAAAGAGACATAGTGGTCATAAAGGAAGACCAAAAGCACAATCTTATCGAGATCAAAGTGATGTGGAATGCTATGACTATAGAGAGAAGAACCACATGCAGGTAAGATGTTCTCAAACGAGGAAGGACTTACAGAAGTTCAAAGAAGCATCACAAATAAAGGAATATAGGGACTCCCATACTAATGAGGTCAGTGATGTTGACAATAGTGATATTTACTTGGCAACAAGTAATGAGTTTGTTAGGCTTGAGTGGGTGATAAATTGTGTTGCCTCAATGCATAAGTGGCGGACAAACATGGGCTAGTGGGTTCGAGTGACCCCACTGAATTGTTTCATAATGCTATATTACATTACCTCTTCCTCGGGATTAATCACTATCCTCATGCCTGGCAAGAAGTGAGATATGACAAAGATTTAATAAGTTTCGTTCAGCACACAAACCCTAAAGTCATATCATTTTTGAAATCTAGTTATATGATAACGTGTCAAGTATAGGGGAAAGATTGAGAAATTGGAGGAAAAGATGAAGAACTGAGAGATGAACAGGATCTGAGAAGAGAAGGAGAAGAGGGAAAAGAGAAGGTGATGAACAACTAGAGAAGAGAGGAGGAGAGATTAGGTTTTAGGAGTGATAATATTATTGTTCTTTATTGATATCTCAATAACCAGTTATATGGGTATATAGAGCTAAAATATTGAACTAACACTAATAATGATAAACCCCTAATCATACTAGAAGGCTAGTCCTATCGGTTCAATAAAAGCATCAAGGTAAAGAACAAAAAAAACCTAACCCTTGAAGGAGTATTATAATTCACAGTAAAAAGCAAATATAAATATAATAATAATTGAACTATCTAATCAAACAATTAAAATATCTATATAACTAAATAATATAACTTATTCATTAACCCTTCTACACTATTGCCACCCTGATAGAGACACACATTGTCCTCAAGGTGTAAGTAGGAAAATAAGAGGTGCGCAATGACCCTGCGCTTGTCATGTCCAGTGAGGGGTCCGATTCGGGGTTCAAAATATGAGACGCGACAGTGCACAAAAGAAAATGCCCCCTTCAGACCAAGCTCCGTATTTTTGGCAAGGCAAAGAGATAACTCCAAGTAATATGATGCGCCAAGGAGTCGTAGGTTGCCCTAATCACTCAACAATATCGAGAGCAAAACATTTTTTGTTCTTACTGAATTAAAAAAAATAACAATTTCCATACCAGACGCTCCAAAATCTTCTATGCATCTATAACAAATTGCATCGGCCTTGGGAACTCCCACATGTGCAACATCTAGAAGAAGATCATATGTTGGGGAGGAATCATCCTCAATATTCCCATATGTCTTAGCAGACACTAACGAACCTATTTCTTCAGGCATGACAATCAACTTGCTTTCGTCAACAGATTCATGCAGCCCCTCTTCTTTTGATTGTTCAATGTTTGACATCTAAGCATTGTGGCGAATGCCCGTAACCCTATAGAACCATGTCGGGAATTTTGGGTTCAGTTTAATGTTATTATTGGTTCCACACGGAGTAGATTCCCACACCATTGGAGTGGACAAATTATTGATCACTCGGACCTCTAAAAGTGAGTAAACTTGTGTTGGGGATTCCTACAAGTCCCACACCGGATGTTTAGGAGTAATTGAACCAAAATATATAGGTTCACCCAACCCCATTAGTATGAGGCTTTTTGGAAAGTGCCCAAAAACAAATCCGTGAGGGCTTGGCCCAGAGCGGACAATATCATACTAATGCGGGGTTGGGGTGAGGGCACACGTAGTCCCAACATGTGGTATCGGA